TTTGCTATACATTTGTGCTGTGCCTTGGTTGCCATATAGGAGTACCTTAGATAGCCACGTGGTCACACACAAAATGTTGGACAACCAGTAAAGACCATCAGATGTCAACAGTCATCCCCCAGTTCTCTAGGTCTAGACACGCTTTCACATAGGCATGACACATACCACATTTCCCTTTCTGATAAGGTATGGAATCCACACTACTGATCCATCTATACATATACACGTATTTTTTTTCCAGAAGAATGCAACAATGACCAAAAAAACTTTCATAAAAGAAGTGTGAAGATTAAAAAAAAAGAAAAAAGCATTAGGAAACACCAGACTGAACTACTCACCCTCCCTCCACCTCCATTTTTCCTTCTGCATATGGCACTAACACCCAAGGTTTTTTCCTTTGCCTCACTCAGGGCACAGAGAAGGTAATCCCACAGGCTGGTGGGGTTTCAGTGACGCTCATTAACCTGCATCCAAGCGTTTCACAAGTGGTGTATTTATTTTCACAACACATCTTTGAGGAGAGGAGTTTTTATCTGTTCTCCTGATTTGGGGACAGAGGGAAATGGAAGAAATGAAGCCTGGGATTTGCACTTCAGATTGAAGGAAAAAAAGAAAAAAAGAAAGAAAAAAAAAAACTTTTACAGAATTTGGAATTATGCAGCATTAAACCCAGGCACAAGATCCCCTTGCTTCAGAAACCACCGAGAACACTGAACATTTCTGCAAAACAGACCTCAGGGTGTGAAACCAGGCATCCCCAAGAAGGACGATCAAACAATTAGTGCTCGTTCCCATATGACAAGACACGAGAAGTTTCACACAAGGTTGAGTTTCCCAATGCCATATAGCACCTCTGTAGAAGAGGTAAGAATAAATATGATTTATTTTAAGTTTTACTTTACAGCTCTTTTCCATAAAAACATCTCCACTTTCTTATTCCAAACACTAAAAAAAAAAAAACGAGAAGTTTCCTCTAGTCCCATCACTGCCCACCCTCACTCTCCCCCAAACTACAATTCCCAAGCGAATCAGAAGTCTCAGTGACCAAAAAGGAGTATGTGAACACACCATTTAGGGTAATGTGTGAGTTAGCAAGTAGTGCAGTGAAATAGGAGTGAATGTGGAGGGAAAACCAATCTGCACTGAGGACACACAGGCTGTATCTTAGGAGGTATTTTCAGGTTAGTTCTAGTCTGGGCACATGGCCTCAGCTCCCATTACAGGCAGTAGCACATTAAGAAGGGATCAACTAAAAGGAAAGCATATTGGATGATCCAAGGTACAATACCATCACCCTAAACTGGACCTACTGTGAAATTGCTTCAAAAGTGGCTAAACCTCAGTGCTGGTGTAGATGCATCCTAAGACAACGCATAACTCAAATGCACAGAAGAAAAATAAGTGTTTTCTGCAACAGCACTTTGTGTCTCTCAGCCTTGAAGCAGCCTCAGTAACCTTAAAAACATCCCTTCAATATTTTGTGTGTGCTTGTGTGCACATATGTATGTGTGCACATATGTACTCTCATAGCAACATTGCAAGTGAGAACTTAACTAAAGCAGATAAGTCAAGGTAATAAAACTGAAACTAATACTTAGGCACTCTTACTGCACTCATTAGGGATCTTCAGTAGAAAGTGGTTGCCACAGTCACATCAGCACAGCAACTGTTACTCATGCTAATTCACAGAAGGTAGTTTGCCTGCATAAAGAGCACAAGATTTGACCCCCACTAATGACTTCCACTGTGTTTTCTACACAATATAGATTATCGAAGTAGAGTCATGACTCAGAGGTCTTTCCTGCTACTACCTGCCCATCATCAGTTCTTCCCTGCAATTTCAGAAATGAAGAAATGCAGAGTCACTATTCACAGGATGTTTGCCCAGGAAAAATGCCTCTTGGCTTTTCCATAATCCACCTTTAGGAAGGAAAATGGAATGGGAAGGGAGGGGAAGGGAAGGGAAGGGAAGGGAAGGGAAGGGAAGGGAAGGGAAGGGAAGGGAAGGGAAGGGAAGGGAAGGGAAGGGAAGGGAAGGGAAGGGAAGGGAAGGGAAGGGAAGGGAAGGGAAGGGAAGGGAAGGGAAGGGAAGGGAAGGGAAGGGAAGGGAAGGGAAGGGAAGGGAAGGGAAGGGAAGGGAAGGGAAGGGAAGATAAAAGGCATAAGTGAGAAACTGGCAGCCACTTGTGTTATTTAGCATCTTGGACAGTAAGCAGTGTGTGCAATGTAAGTAATCCCATTCATTCAGGTCCCAGCGTTCGGATACAAGATATCTGAAGTAAGGACTCCCTAAAAAAAATTAAAAACCTTTTCAGGATGCTCATTCTCTGAGCTGGCTACAACCCCGCTTCCTCTCACTCAATGCCCCTAAGACCAATGAAACAACATCAGAGGGAAACTGCAAGAAAGTGTTCCCAAATTTTAGGAAAAAAAAAAAAAATCAAGAGCCATCTCCTTCTAAAGCAAATGGAAATATTCAAACATAATAATACATGAGTGCAAGATTTTGTTTGATTTACACTATTGCTGAGGAGCTGAAACAAATATCTTATTTCAACTGCAATCTGTTGATGAACTATAAGAGAAGAAGGTTGTAGCATCACGAATTAAAAAATAATAAAGCTTAATATCAGCAAAGATTATTATTTTCTTTGATTTGTCAGACTAATTGAAAATAGCTTTCTAGTTAGAAGATGATTAATTAGGAGCCAACAAGATTCCCATCTTTATCTTAGTAATTCTTCACTGTGCTTTATTTCAACATTTAGTCTTTATGCTTAAAATATTCCTTGAGAAAGTAAAAAGGTGATTAACATAGGATTTTAAATGTGTGCCATTTGTTCTGAGCTTTTTACATAATTTTGTCAACAGAGTCAAAAGGAAATAATATACAACATTACAAAACAATTACTGCCTGTTCCGCTTACATCTGCCAAATCCTCCTTTGTGGTAGAGGTATTTTAAGTAGATTCATTTAGAAATAGAGGAGAAAAAAATAAATAAGGGTTAATACTCTTCCCTTCTTTTCTTCCCAATTCCCAAAACGAAAGAATTTTGGACCTTGTGTACAATCACCTTGAAAGTTTTGAAGTGGTCTTGTGAGCCTTTCTCACATGAAACATCCTTAGTCCCATAAGTCATCCTTCAGAAGAAGATGAGCCCATGTCACTGGTACCCTCCACGGATTTTCTCCCATGAAGAAAGGGTTTCAGAATAGCATCTTTTGCACATAGGTATTTGCAGGTCACATTTGTGGAGGGTTTTAAGGTTGGAGGGTGGGAGTGTATTTTTGTTGTTTTGTTTTGTTTTTTAATCATTTTCTCACAGTCTTGGCAACCTCTGTCTTATCACATCATGCTTATATCTCCAGCAAAGGGACCTGGATGATAAGAAGTTTAACCCTTCATTTGGAAAGTAAATGCCCAAACCATATGACAGTTTAAAGAAGTTGTGTGGGTAAATACCAAAGACTAAAAGGACTGTTTCCTAAGGATTAAACCATCAGAAATCATATGGTAAGAGCTAAGCACTACTATTAACAATAATATTAAGATAAACTGTAATATTTCAAAAAATCTCATGCAGGGAAGGGTTCCCCCAGTTTTTGGGGTTGTCCTCTGTCTACCATCAAACCCAGCCTTTTGTAGCAAGTTCTGCTCATTCCTGCCAGCACAAGGTCATGGTTTGGACCATCTCAGTCTCCCATCAAGATCTTGATTTAGACATCCAGGTTACACCAGCAAGTACGCAACTTCTCTCCAAAGTCTCGAGGCTTTTCCTAACCCTGCCCAAAAAGTAGCCAGGACTACAACTGTCCTGCTGTACCTTTGCACTTACCCCAGTCCCAAGATGTCACTGATATAGAGGTGGCACCATGGTGAATGAAGAGCACAAGGGACATGTCCCACGTGGGAGGAGGGAGCCCAATGGGAGGCAGTGGGGTCATGGTGACATGCAGCCCATTTATTTGGAGATGATTTATTTCTTTGTTTTGTTTTGTCAGTTTTCGTTTGTGTGGTGTGTTGTTTTTGTGTTTTTTTTCTGGTTTTATTTGTGTTTTTTTTTTCTGTCAAGCCACCATAAACACTGCATTGACCATCCGCATGAGTCAAAAAAGACACACATCCCCATCCCCATAGAAACTGTGCAATAAGTACCATCAAAACAAATTCTAAAAATAATAATAATAATAAATAATGAAGAAAGAAACAAATTCCCTTTCCAAACCCAAGCACAAAACACTTTTAAGTCAACAGAATTTAATCTAGTTTATTCTCCAAAAAAAAAAAAAAAGAGGAAAAAATATGAAAACAAAACAAAAAAGCAGGTCTTATCACTAGCAGTAAATAAATTTGTACAACCATTCAGTCTGTATAATAGGATGAAATAAATCTACATCTTTCTTATTTTGGTGCGTTGAATTATACATACAAACAACAATTACAGGAACTTGTTCACAATGCGTATAGACCTGGAGAATGGCTATCTGAAAACCCCTTGTTGGCAATGTCCGCATGTTAACACTGATTGCCTGACACCATTGGTACTTCCTATGTAAAAGGCCCATGGCCCAAAATGAATGTTCTCCCTACAGGTTTTATTTAATTAGTTATTTATTTATTTAGTTAGTTAGTTAATGCATCATCAAAACCGTTCTAGCCAGCCCCCTCCCCTTCCCCGGAAATGAAAAAGAAACCAAAATTAAAAAAAAAAAAAAAAAAGAGAAAAAAAGAAAAAAAAAATAAAATAAAATAAAAGGAGAAGACATGACTGGCAGTTGGTCCATTTGTTCGTAAGACCGCGTTTCCTCTTGGTCTGCATTGTTTGTTTTTCTTGTTTTTAAATTGTCCTCCCGTCCTCTTTTTTTTCTTTTCCTTAAAAAAAATCTCTCGAAGTCCTTCATGCCTTTATCTTTACAGCTCTCCAGATGCAATAAAGTCTTCCTCAAATGTACAATATTTCTTACAATATAAGTTATATGCAATGTTCAGCATTTTTTATTTTATTTTATTTTTTTTTCACAGCACTAGAGATCCTGTCCAATAGGGAATGCAAGTTCTGAATGGCTTATTCACAAATGGTATCCAGATTCAGTGGGTAAGAATACATAGACGCCATAGTGAGTTCCTTTAAAAAGTGGCAAACATCACTTTTTTAAAACTTTTTTTTTTACTTTTTTCCTTTTTTTCTTTTTTTTTTCCTTTTTTGTGCTTTTTGTAGTTTTTTTTTCTCTTTTTATTTTATTATTATTATTATTATTATTATTATTATTACTTTCGCTCTTACGCCTTCAAATAACATTTTTATTTTTACTTTTTATTCTTTTTCCCCCTCCCATTTGACTCGGGACGTCAGACCCATAACCACACGCCTGCAAAAATGCAAGTATATAAAGTAATTCTCATTTTGAGACTGTAAGCATTCAGCAGGGGAGTCTACCGCTAACCCATGGCAGTGACCATACTGGAGGGATGGTGAGGTCCGAAGGAGAGGCTGGATGGAGGATGCATCGGTGTCGGTGTAGTCAGCATGTGGCTGGAGTGACTGAAGGGTGAAATGTGGCTGATAGAGGACATGTGTCTGGAGAGGGCAGCGGGGTTAAAGGAGCTGCTCTTGGGAAAGTCTTCAAGGTTGTCATGGACCTTTTTGCACTTTTTGGATTTGCTAGACATTTTTCGGTTTCTGGTCTGAATTCCTTCTTTCTTCATAGTCAGGGGTCTGTTAATCTAAACAAAAATAAATTATTTTTTTTTGTGCTTCCATCCCTTCTCCCCAAATTACCATGAGATTCACATACCCCCATACCCAGAAAAGTGCCCAGGTTCAGCTGAACATCCAGCAACCCCCTCCTCCCCTTGCCTGCCCCACATACCATAGCTACACAACCCCATACCACCCCAAAAATTCAAACCAGGGTGAAACCCACACCTAGGAATTGCAGAAAATTCCAAGTTTGGCTGAAATTTCTAAAGATAAAACAACAGAAAAGTACAGAGCCTCACAGGAGCAAACCATACCCAAATAACTTGCAGCAGCTGAAAAATTTCAGCTATCTGCACATTAGGTAATTGCAACGTGTTTAAGAACAAGACCAATCATTATCACCTTGAAATATTCCCTGCAGACAACAACTCACCCCCAGGCTTCCTGACTGATCTAAAACCATTAACGGCAACAGCTGCTGGGATTTCAGTGCTCCCAGGGGTCTCAGACTTTCACAGTGGCATTAGGGTGCTGCTCAAAGTCTTCATAAAAGCGACAGGTATTTGAATTCCTTGCTTGTTTGGGAATTATTTTGCACTGACCATCCTTTCAGGTTTACCTTATCCAATCTGGTTTTATCTCTAAGGCGTCTTAGGTTTATTTTTGGCCTGAAACAGGTATCTGTGCTGCGTGGTAGAGCATTTCCTGCTTGAATGAAGATATATCTGGAGAAAACCAGAGAGGTGGTGGAGTGTCCTCCTTGGAGATCTCCAAAAGCCACCTGGACTTGGTTCCTGGGCACTCTGCTCTGGGTGGCTCTGCTTGGGCAGAGGTTGGAGCAGATGGACCCAAATGTCCCTTCCCACCTCAGCCATTCTCGGATCCTTCAAACCTAAAGCATGACATTCTCCTGCAAGGCTGTTGGCAGCAGCAATGACTGTTCACACACCCAGCTAAGAAATGGTAGCAAAGGTTCTATAAGAAACTCCTGTTGCTGCACAGCCAGCCAGCATCACAACATGCATTAGCACAGGTGTCATGAAAGTCCACAAAAAACACACTTGGGAAGGGATTTCTACATCCAACATCCATAAAAATCCCTTAAAAATCTGTACTTGGGGAGTGACATGAGTCTGTGCTTCCTCTGCAGAATTCCACCCAAGGCAGAAGGAAGCCCCCAGGAGCGCCCAGCACCCCACAGAGCTGAGCACCACTTCTTTTAATACATGTGGGCACACAGCAGTGCTGGTGGGTGTTCTGCAAACTGGAGAAAAGGGAGAAGAAACATTTGCTGTCCACCAAGAACTACCATTTCAGCCCTATCAAAGGACAATGGAAAGTGATTCCTGCAGGGATCCTGAGCAGATCTGCAGCTGCAAGATCTTCAGCCAGTGCAAGGAACAAAGCGCTCCCTTCTTTGAGATCACAGAAAAGTTTAGCTTCTTGCTTATCAGCCCCTGCTTGGTGCTTTTCCCCACAGCATGAGAACCATTCAGTGATTTCTCTCCCCAGGGGGGCAAGGATACAAAAGGTCCCTGTTACTGGTGGAGACAGAGGCACGGGGAGAGGAAGGAACATCCCAAAGTTCGTCATCTCAGTCTCAATGAGTGACCCCAGGCTCTCCACACCAGCAGTGATGAGAAACCTCACCTCATCCTAAAAAAAATGGGTGAATGGAAGGCTGATTACCTCTGGATAAAGGCAGCCAGAAGGAGCAGCCTGGCTTGCCAGCAGCTAAAGGTGGGAGGGATGAAGCTGCCCATGTGCAGGTCAACAGCAGCCTCAGGGCAGCAACAAGCCAAAACCTCAAATGTCATGGGCTTTAAATACAATATCACCCTTCTCCTTGGCTTCCTGTCCTCACCAAGGGAACTGGGACACGCACACAAGGAAGGCCCTTTGCTCCAGCCTGAGATGGGAAAACTTTGCCTGCTCTGTTGTAAGTCACCCAGCAGGGATGTGCTGCCCACGCTTAAAAAGCAGGAGGCAGCCCCAGGTGAATCCCACCAGGCAGCAATGACAAAGCAGACCTGGAAGTCCTGATCTCTGATGAACTCAACTCAAATCCAGGGATTTGCATCATGATGTGAAGGCTCAAGGGCAGCCAGAACTGATTTCCAGGTGAAGCAGCAAACAAAAGCTCAGGAGCTTGTGGTGGCAAAGCTACATTAGCCTGGTGCTGGGACTGGTGCTGTGCTGGCCCTGGGATCAAGCACAGGGGTCCTGGCCCTGTGATGCTTAGTGCTCTGTCCTGCAGAACACTGACCACTTCCTTAAAGCAACATCTTTCATGTCTTGTTCTATTGCAGAGAACAGATCAACCCTGACCATGATTTGATGTGAACCTGAAGGATGTGAGTTTTGCTGAGGGTGGTGACAAGCCATGGTCAGCCCTGCATCAGAGATCATGCTGTCATGGTCTCACCCTTCTAGCAGGTACCAGACCCAAACAGATGAAGATTCAGATAAATGTCAGGAGGAGAGAGACCAGCAGTCACAACAGAAAGCTGGAAACATTTTGTGCTGACTTCAAAAGCCAGTCATAGCAAAGTTAAAGGGGTCCCCAAATCATCAAAGCCGCAGACTCATCTCTGCTTCTGGGGTAGAGAAATGAGAGACCTGGAGGGAAGACCTTCTCCATGAAAATTCATTGTGATAAAAATGACAAACACATGCTAAATTAAAATTAAACCAGCCCAAAGCATGTATATGAAATTCATTAATTTCAGATGGAGCCAATTAATTATGGGCAGGAATTATGCTCTTTGTTTCATCATATGCAAAGCATTGACTGCCCTGCCTTTGGATACTGTGAAACAAAGACCTTTTCTGAGGACTTTAACCAAAATTAATGGTAGCTAACTCGTTTCTATGGGTGCAGGCCAGTCTGCTGCACACTTCAGGTGAGGTACAGGCACTCCTACCCATCTCTGAAGTGAGTGAAGGCCGATCCTACTTCTAAGAAGGACTGAAATAACAAAGACAAGAGCCTCACATTCAACAAATCAAATCCAGGGGATGGTCTTAGATATTATAGGTCTGATCTTGCTCTGACTGGAGACAATGGGATTTTGCCATTGACCTCAATAAGGTCCTGTCACTGAAGCGGATTTATCCTTTAGACATAGTCATTACAACGTTGGGTTAATCTTCCAGAGTGGCTGTATCGTAGAGAGCTCTCTGGGATGCCACAGGATGAAAGGCATCATATCAATGTGAAATATTAGTCATTGTTAATATTGGTGTTAATGGAGCTGGCTCTTGTTGAAGTCAGTGGGAGAAACGCAAACAGCTTCACTAAACACACCTCAAGACTGTTATGATTATTGCTAATATCCTACTGACAAATAGGTTAGCTTCAGCCTTGGGAATCAACAGCAAAACAAACTGATGTAGCTCATGAAAAAAATAGTTTTGGTGTAATCCTTCACTGCAATCCTTCCTGGCGTGGACTTAAAAAACAGGCAAGTTTCATCTTCATATCAATCCATTAAAACAACCTAATGATCTGAAGGTCCAAGAAAAACTCATTAAACTCAAAGCAATTAAAAAAAAAAAAAAAAAAAAAAAAAGGAGTTTCCTACAGCCTAGCCTAAACCACAGTGAAGCAGCCTTCCAAGCAGCCGAAGGACTTCAGCTGGCATTGACATAAGATCTGTGCAGACACATTCTGCTGCTCGGCAGGGACATGCTATGGTGAGTCTTTGAAATCTGTGTATGTCCAACGCCTAATGGAGAACCGATGCAGACACAAACACACAAAAGGAGAAGGACCACAGCCTACACACATTGGTCTTTCACTCTAATCTACTAGACCAATTTACACAGGCCAAGGAAACTTGTCCTTGAGTTGATTAAAGGGTGATGCCAGTGCCACTCAGCAGGCAGTTAGCAGAGCTCCTACTGTCCTGTCTCCCAGCAGCCAGAAAATAGAAGGCATCTCGGTGAAGCTACCACCACCTTACCACCAGTCCCCGAAAAATAAATAAATAAAAATTTTTAAAAAGCTCATATTTTATTTCTGAAGTACAGTGTAGCCTTCACAGCCACACACTTCGTAAGCCACACTGGGCTGCAGAATAATGCTTAAGTGCTCTGCCCCTGTAAATCTGTAAAGCTTAGGGTGGTATTTTCAAGGACAATCAGCAGCAACATTGCCCATCTCTCACTGTAATAATAATGCATCAGCTACTGGGAAAACGTGAAAAAGAAAAGGATCTACCCACTCATAGCTAGATTGTAGTACCCTTGCCTAGTTCTGTTGCTGCACACAGTATCTCAGTCCTCTAGGGGTTTCATTTAAGCAGGTCCCATTAACGGAGTTGCTCATAAGGCAAGATACTACTTGACTTCAGTAAGTAGCTGTGCTGAGCTTTTCAGCAGCTGACGGTGTGTTTAATGAGTATGAAAACAGTTCCAATGTGCTCAAGGCCTGCCCCATGTCACAAATTTCACAGCTGGATCAGAGCTTCCCTAAACAGTGGATCTAGGGGTCAATTCAGGCCAACTAGGTTCACAAGTTGGTGTAAAAAAGAGAAGGAGAGAGAGAACGGGTGCTCTCACAGGCATGCTTCTGGAGAACCCCAGCACCCAGACACCTTAGGGGGATTCCTCCAGTCTGATGACTAGAGTGCAGATGCACCTGAACTTAGCATTCTACCTCCCTTTGTAGTCATGGGGAGAAACTGAACCCTTTTTGGGGGTGCAAATCATCTTGTCCAAACACAAGCACCTCCACCACATCCAAAAAGTGGCACTTGAGAAGACCCTATTTCCTTCTAACGGCTTCGTTGGGGTACAAGTGAAGCAGCTCAGTTATACGTCCCTGCTGCTGCCATCCCGAGCTATGTGATATAAGTCCTACCCCTGGTGGCTGCACAGCCCCAGTGAAAACAGAGCACAAGCATAGACTCCACCAGCGAGGCTGGCTGACCTTGCTGCCTTCTTGCCAAAATAGCAAACAGAGAATATTTTCTTGTGATACTCTAAGAGGTTTCACTCCTCCTGCCTAGGCCAGCCTTTTGTTTGCAGTGATCACACTGAAAGTTTGATGACAAGCTTTGTTTGCTACATAGGACTCAAAACGTGCTGAGACGCCTGCCCACTAAAGGGTAAACACATTTTCCTTTTTTCCAGGGGAGATGCCTCTCACAGAACAGGTGAAAAATTACCCTGCTTTTTTTTTTTTTTTTTCTACTTAATCCAAACTTGTTTACTCATCCCAAGAAACCAAAGAGCCTGAAATAACAAATGGAAGGGACTGAAACACCACAAGGTTTGGCTGCCCCATGAAACCCGATCCATCTTTGATGTGTTTGTGTGGGTAGACATGAGGGCAAAACATAGCCTGATATTTCTAAGTCAAACATAAAGCAAACGACCACTAGAAAACCCCAAAAAAGAGTGGTATCAAAGCACAGAAATTGCAAGTCTCTTCCTTCTTCTGACATTATAATTATTCTAATGCCACATGCGGAATGAGAGTAACACGAGTTGCCTTAAGACTCCTTTTTACCAGTATTATTGGGGAGAAGACTTTTCAGATCCCTTTAGCTCTTTCCCTGGGGCACATATCTCTGGTTCCTGCAAGCTGGCTTTGCATGGTGATATTAGATTAAATCTGCCAGGCATTTCATTTCTCCTTCCCTTCCATGACAGATGCCTTAAAATTCACATCACAGGTTGAGCAGACTCTACAACCCACTAACTAAATCAAGCCCTTTTTGGTTTAGGAATCGCTTGCGTCAAATGGGGCAAATGCAAGACCTGAATAAATCATCTTTGGGGACTGGCGGAGGGACAGGACAAAGATAGCCACAAACCCAAGAAAGGCCTAAATAGTTGCTGGCACATTTTGCTTTTTTGGCGGAGCTTATATTTGCTGGAGGAACCAAGCTGTGCGTAGAAGGGGTATCGGTTTGCAGGACGGCGTGTTGTCTTTTCCAGCACACTGAGCCCGATCAGCAGTGGATAACGTCTCTCTGTGTTGATCCACCCCTCCTTTCTTGGCTCAGGCATGGGAAAGCTCTAATATTCCCCACGGACTGTCCTGTTTTATACCTTCCCAAGTCCAATCGACTACATTCGAGGGGATGTCTGCTCATTGCTCCAACCCTCAAGGTCCCCAAAGGGATAAAGGAGGTCTCAGCACCACCCAAGACTGGAAATCCTCGAGACGAGGAAGAGCTTGGACCGTCGTCGAGCATGGCAAGGGAGGCCCCACTACCGAGCGCTACCGTCACACTTACATTGTGCAGCTTGTAGTAGAGCCCACAGGCGTTACAGACGGGATCGCCGTTGGCATTTCTCCTCCACAGGGTGGTGGTGGTGGTCTGGCAGTTCGCGCAGGACGTGCCCGCCCTCCTGGCTGCAGACTGCGGGAGGGGGGGGGACACGGGAGGGAGAGGAGAGGGAAAGAAAAACGCCCGCATTAAAAAGGTGCAATCAGCAAAATCGCTGAGAAAGAAAACATCAACCATGCAAGACTGACGCACGTCGGCAGAGGCCTCCAGAAACTGGCTTGTGAGAACAAATAATAATTCTGGAAAAAATCCCCGAGGTACTTTAATCCCAAATTATATATGAACTGAATCGGGTGCCAAAGGGCATCCTAAAAGTGAGTGCTAAACCTCTGATAGGACTCATCAAAATTAGCACTGCTGGCACAGCCCATTCCAGAGGGGAAAATAGTATTTAAATGCCAACATGTCTTTCCATCTTAATTCCCTCAGACCCCCCAGGGGTCTAATTCTGCAGTCAGGGCCTGAACCAACAATTGCAGGAGTCAATGGCATGAGTCACGCCAGCTCCGGCGAGCGCCGGATGAGACCCGCGCCGTGCTTGGTGGGCAGCTGCTAGCTGGGTCCGACCGCAAGTGTGGCCTGGTCCCATAAATTCAGCTCCGCTTCAAAGGATACGTGCTCCAGATCGGAAATAACACTGCGGCGAAGAGCAAGAATCCCAACTTTTTAATTACACCCTTTTGCAGCCTCAACCTTCATGTTTATTTAAGAACTGGTAATGAGGCTGAAAAAAGAATTTACCATTTCATAAAAGGGGAGGAACAAAAAAAAAAAAAAAAAAAAAAAAAATGTATAAGTGTCAAGGTGTATAAAGAAGCTTTTTTGTTAGCTGTGATAATGATTTAGGAAAACCAAATCTAGCCAAGTCACTTCTCATTCACATGTATGAATTCATGCTTATCATTTAAAAACTGTAACTTTGGCATACAAATTGTCCTTCTGCCACTGAAGGAGGAAAAGGAGTTTGCACACTTTTATATGAATGTGGATGCATGCCTGCGTGTGTGCGAGTGCCTACAGCTCCCAAAAAAGACCTTTAGATCCCACTCCTATCTCTTCTTCATCAACATGACACAGTCCCAGAGCTCTGATTTCATCCCGATGTGCTGCTTTCAATGGGACTGCTCATGTGCTTAAAGTTAAAACATGTGCTTAAGCGATTTGCCAGATCATAGCAATGCTTGGCACCTTGCAGAACTGAGCCTTTAATGCTCTCTTTTGTGCTCTTACTGTTTCAAATTTACCCCTCACCCCACACAGCAGCACACTGTAGCACATCCAACTTTAAAAAAATAAAAAAAGTACCGCATCTTTGGATACCGTACAGCAAACCCAAAATGCAAACATGGACACTGGCACAGCGCTAGCATTAATACCAACTCTTGTTAGGTCATGTTGCAATTTTAATCATAATTGAATGTGGCGTAGGTGGAGAGAGGACGGGTTGGTTTTGTTTTAGATAGAGTAGGAATATTTTTTTCTTTTTTAATTACACAAAAAGAACTGCCTGAAAAATAAATAACGTTGTGCCCACGAGCATTAGGAAGTACCACAGAGTGCCTGCTCTGAGAGCAAGGGGCTCTCACCAGGCAGTGTGAAAGGTTTTTTGATTGCAAAAATCCATCCAAAGAGGTTGAGGCACCCCACCACAAACAGCAGAGCCATAAGACATGTTTGCACACATACACCTTTGTCCTGTCCTCCTAGAAACTGTGCCTGAGCCCCAGATTTGCTTCCCATCGAAATCCCTGGGTTGGTAGGCATGTTTCATGTACAGCATGGACGTACCTCCATGCAGAGCCGCGTGCTCGCCACAACCCAGGGGCCATGCACGGATGGCTTGGAGGCTGGATTGAGTCTCTCTGTGGCAGCTTTGCCCTTATCAGACCCAAAAATCAAGCCTAAGGAAATTTCTAAAAACCAGTGATATTTGACTCAGCCCACACAGGGGAAACATCCCCTTTGAAGACATTTGGGGTTTCTACGCAGCGCTCACCGTAATTTCTCATATGGTAAATGCATTTAAAGACAAGCTTGGTCACCACCTTGCTACCTTTTCAGGATTTCAAGCAGATCCTCACTGGCTAACTTTAAATACACAAATAAATCACAATGTCCACTGTCTTCTCTAAAACCTCTTCTATCTTCCACATTCTCCCTGCAAAACTTTGGCATCGTAATCTGAATATTTTAAACCCTGTTCTCTTTCAGTCCCAGACTGTACCTTTTACGCTGCACCAATTTAAACCAGAGACACCAGCAGCAGGCAGGAAATAATGAATAATAACTCTATTGTAAAAGCTCCCGGGAATGGTTTCCACTGATACTCATCACTGACCCAATCCTAACCATGTTATGGAATGGCAATAGGGTGCCCAGTGTCCTCTGCAGGACCAGATGTTGGATAGCAGCGAGGACACAACTTCGTGCAAAAGCTGGCTGTGCTGACGCTGATGGAAAGGTGGAATCAAGGAGGGTGCAGAAAAGAGGAAACAAGCGCTGATAAAGGTGCTTATTTTAGGGGTGTTTTCTGTGTCCAAATTTACACATGGTGTCCAAAAATTTGCAGGTGACAGCTTCCTAAATTAGACTCCATTCACCAATTCCCTCAGAGAAACTGCCTATAGTCCTTCCAGAACCAGAGCAGCCGGACAGGGAAACTGAGAGCTCTGCATCCACATGGGCAGGGAAAGGGAGAAAATTCAGATGAAGGTTTTGTCTCAGCAGTGATGGGGTTGCCACAGGCTTTGATGAGGATGGGAAGGGTTTCCAAGAGGGATGGAGACCCTTCAACCACAGTGGTGGCTCAGTACAACCTGCTTAATCCTGCCCCCCCCCACCAATGCCTCCAGACCCACAACTCTCTCCCCCAAAATGAAGCTGAGCTCCCTGCACCTTCTCAGCTTGCAAAGCTCGATCCATCATCTCCCATAAAGCCACCTATTAAACTCAACAAAGCTTGGGCTGGGTTCTCAGCATCTAAGGGTTTATTTGACTTCCCTCTCCAGCCCATCGGAGCCCTTTCATTAGTTGTAACAGCGCCGGGGATGAGAGCCTACAAAACTACCCTAAGGTCAGGCAGGAAGCTTGTGGCAGAGCGAGAGGTGCATGCCACTGCCCCCAGCCCTGTGCCTCTGTGCGCACACTGCCTGCCCCTGCCCACTCGCCTTCCAAAGCCAGGGAAGATCAAGTCAAGCCACGGGCACATGTGTCCCCATCCCTTTACAATGAGATGTGAATGCAGGTCTGGCTCTGGTGCCTTCTGATTTCTCTCTTTTTATTTTTCTTTTTTTTTTTTGAGAAAGCAGGAGAAATAAATATAGAGAGAAAGCAGGAGAAATATATACAATTATAGAAATATATGTATGTTTTTCTAGGCAGTTCTGGGAAAAAAAAAAAAAAAAAAAAAAAAAAAAAGAAAAATCCAAAGTTCTCACTTAGCAGAGGTTATGTGCAAAGAACGGGAAATTTTTGCAACTTATACTTTAACTGAAATGCCCAAGATAGGAGCGATTGTGCAAGACAAGGTCTCTCTTTACATTTTTCATTCTTTTTTCCTTTTTTTTTTTTTTCTCAAGAGTGACCTTTCAAAATGTATTTATTTATGTATTCAATTTTACATGTGCCGGGCTCGGGGTGACTCGGGACATTCTTTCATGGTTCCATCAGACACTGTGAAAACTCTACCCCCTTTCCAGCCGCTTTCCTATCCTGCCTCCCCCTCTGCTTGTTTGGATACACTCAAGCTCCTGTGTGTTTGGGCTGGGGAAACGGAGCTGTTGTTTATGAGTTATCTCCAGGGCCCAGATATCCGGCAGCTTTTTCCTAGGAAGTTAACTTTACACATAAAGAGAGAACGAGAGAGGGGAAAAAAATAAGAAAACGAAGTGTGTGTGTGTTTAAGACAGAAAGGCCGGGGGGAGGAGGAAAAGAGAATGAGAGAGCTGCCCAAAAATTAAAAATCCCAACCTGCACTTCCCTCCCTAGAAAGCCTTTCCTTTTTCCTAATGAGGCTATGAAAGATGAGCCTGAGCCCAGGGAGACCAACATTTTCTTGTACGGGAAAAGTGCGGGGGAAGGCACCAAGTGTCCATCCCCGAACATGCACGGCCGAGCTCCCGCACCAGCACGCCGCAGACATCCCATTCACTCCATCAGCCCCAAAACCCTGTGGGGATGCAAGAGCCACTTTTTCTCCACCTTCCGAGCAGCCCCCAGGAGCCTGCTCGCGTTTTTAATCTGAATGAAACCAAACGTGCCTTGATTCGAAACATTCAATAACTTCCCAGGCAGGGAACATATTTTTTTCCCCCACTTGATATATTTTTCCCCTTGTGGTTTGCCTGATTATTTGCCAAATATACTTCAGCGCATTTATTAGCCATGCCCACAGCTTCCAGACCTTTTTGTGGCTTCCAGGGAAATTCATAAATAGATCACTGGGGATGCTATAATATATTGCCTGTGTACATTACGGTCATGAGGCCTGAAACTATGAGTTCGTTATTATTTTAAATAGTTATTCAAGCATCTCTCCTTCCCCCAGCTTGTGTTGTTATGGGTGTACAGTTGGCTATGCACACCTCTGCCATCCCCTACCTGGTGGCAGCAATGGCATGGCTGGAGACCTACAGTGCCCGGGGACAAATGACCACACCAGGACCAAATGTTACCAGGATCATGAGCTGAGACAGCATCAGCTCAGGTCCCCTTCCATAGCACCAAGTAGTGTCAAAATACACCGGGAGCTGTCTGGGGGGGGGCCAGAGAAACCCTTTTCTCCTGATATCTCCTTGGTCACTGGGAAGTGCCCGTGTTCCTTGGAGAGAGCCACCATCCTCGGGTTGCCATGCAGGAGAACTGCACAAAGACCTCTGCCCTATCACAAAATAGGAGAAAGCTCATTTTTGGCTTACAAAAAGTCCTGGATCTTGATTTTTTAAATCTCTTTTGCAATTTGCAATAGGAACAGAAAACTGAGTCTCGTGCCACATGGGAGCATCCCTCTGAGCATCCTCCCTTCCAGCCCTCTGGCACGGTGGGCCGAGATTTTGGGGCTGGCTAAGTTTCCCTTCTCCATCCCAGGCTGTGGAGAAGAAGCACAAGTTGCAGAGAAAAATAAATAATAATAAATAAATATTTTTTTTAAAAAACAAACACAGAAACTCACCAGTCTTCTCTTGGGTTTGATCAGGGGCCGGTTCTGTCCGTTCATTTTGTGATAGAGTCCACAGGCGTTACACAAGTAGTGCCCGGTGCCGTCTCTTCTCCACAGGGGGGTTGAGGTAGCCCCACAATTTACACACTCCCTGCCTTCTGGAAACAAGAGAGCGCATGGATCACTTAGGGAAAGTAGAGGTGAAAGGGGATGGAGAAAGCTCCCCCCACCCCCCAAAAACCCTCCAAAAGACCCGTCTGTGCCAGACCTTGCCTGTCCTGTCCATGCTCAGGATGTCGAAGCAAAGTCCTGAGGTCATGTCTGAAGGACATCCTGGGCAGAGGTGGGGGCACTCAGACCTGGTGGGGGCTGATTCTGCCCACCCAATCCTCACACCCCCACACCATCAGCTGTATTGTGTTCTGTTCCCTCATCCAAACCCTAGAGCAGCTCGACGGGCTCCCATGAAGCTCTCACCCATCCCTGGGGCACTCCAGCAGGAAGGACATTAAGGAGTTGGCGGGTCCCCGTCACCTCTGGAGTAGGGGCTCCTATGGCTCTGTGGTCCCCATCTCACTATATGGACCAGACAAATCTTGACAAGCTATAAAAGGAGTTCCTGACCCTCTTGAGATACCAAAGTTTTGTCCATGAACCCCTTCCCAATGTGTGTGGGGACCCCAGAGTCATTCCTGGAACATCTCCCTGGCTTGCAGGGGGTGCACAACCCAGGGAGGCTCTTCCTTTGGCCTTAGGTCAAGTCAAATCTTGAATCCCCAAAATAACCATAGAATAACCCAAACACCCTCCATCGCTAGCCAGTCCACAATCACTCTGCTGATACCCACTATTGATTTGCAATTGGTTTGCATATTGGTTTGCAATTAAGCTTTCACTGCTCAGCAGTCAGGGCTGCAGAAACCTCTCTGCCTTTCCCACTGCATGTAGAGCCTGATGGTCCAACACCAATTTGGGGGATCCCAAACGGTTCCATGCCTGTTTAAAGTCTTTTCCATCTTCTCCCCCTCCTTTTTGACACCCATTTATCCTCTCCCTCGTTATGGGGGTTTCCCCCAACCCACTGGCTCCCAGCACAGAGGGGATGTAGATTTAAGGGACTGCAGTCATTCCTTCCAGCTACTTTCAGAGGGCTAGGTAGTCGGTTGCTGTTGTATTTCTTGCACCTAAAGACATTGGTAGGCCATCTGAGAGCTGCAGCAGACCTCCACTGGCCGGAGCAGAGCTAACCCAGCACACAGCTCCCCGCTGCCCCAGCCCGTGCTGCGTTCGAGCAAGAGGCATCCGCACCCTAACCACAAACGGCAGCCGTTTTTCCAGCACCTTTGCACTAAAACCCTCTCTCCCCACACTCCAAAAAAAAACCCTTAGAATGATTAAACAAAAAATGCAGCCGTTTCTCCCTCTTTCATCCTGCAAAAACACCCCCTCCCTCCTTTTCCTGCAGCCCTTCGCCTAGCCCCATCCCCCTTTGTCTGTGAGCTTCCCAGCTTGCTAAAATCGACTTTAAAAAGAAAAAAAAAAAAATAGGTGTTGCTCTCGGGGTTGGTTTATCTCAAACCGCAGATGTCTTTCTAGAAGGTAAAGTAACAGAAAGTGGCAAAAGGAAAACAAGACGGAGGAGGAGGAGGGGGGCAAAACAGTTTGAAAATCCCGCGCAGCCGGTGCCCCGGCTGGAGCTGAGGCTCGGAGGGCACCGGGCAGGGGACGAAGCCGGAGCCCGGCCCCGCAGAAGCCACCGGTCCGTGCCGGGGCCGGGAGGGAGCTGCTCCCGGTCATCCCCGGGTCGTTTTTTTTTCCCTCCGGTTAGCCGGGGCAGCCGCTCTGAGAGCGTTTGAGTGTCTGTCCCTCTCTTTTGTTTCACTCCATCTCTCTCTCTCTCTTGCTTTCATGTACAAAACATACAGGTCTGGGGTTTTTTGTCACTCTAACCGCATCCGGACTCTATTAAAGTTCCTGGCGCTGGATAAACAATGCAACTGTCGCGTGCAGCAGTCTGAAAATAATTGGATTAGCTCAAACATATCAGCTAAATAGAGACAGTCCCTGCTCAGACAGACAGAGTAAATGTCACCCTGGAAAAACCCTGAAAACTGATCTCATTCATGCCAGGCAACCCTGCAGCAGCCTCCACGGAAAAAGAAAAAAAATATATATATATATATATATATATATTGAAAGAAGGGAGAAAAAAAAAAAAAAGCGTTTTGACTAGTCGCCCTTTGCTCTGCACACACACACGGGCTCACTCAGCACCCTTTGGTGCCCACAAATTCACAATTTCCCCCCCAGGCGCAGCGGAGCCGCGCAGGATGCGCAGGGAGCCGAGGACCCCCCCAGCAGCCCTTCCTTGTCTTTTTCCCTAGGGGGGATGCTTCTGGGGTCCGGTCCGGGGGCAAGGAGCTAGTTGGGGCCGGGGGTGAGCTCAGGGCAAATCCCGCCCCCCCCACCCCCCCTTCCCTCTCCATCTCCCAGCCTCCCGGCGCCGCATGGGAAGAGGCCCTGGGCTGAGCGAGGCGGAGGGCAGGCGGGGGAAGTTGGCCGGGATTTAAGTGGCACTATTAAAATCCAGAGAGATACACTAATGCTGCGGTTCCCTCGGTTTCGCTTCCTCGTTAGACGCCGCAGCTGAGCACACATATTTTGGGCCGGCGGAGGGGGCAGGATCGGCCCCGGGGCAGGAGCCCTGGAAGGGAAGGGGAGACCTCGCATCCCTCAGGCTAAATAAGGGGGGATTCGGCTCAGGGCAAGCTGTAGGGTCAGCAAGTTTCCCCCTTTTTTCTTCCCACGAGTGTTTACGCGCATCCCTCTCTGCGTGGAGGATGTGGCCGTGAACCCTCTTTGCCACCCCTATTGCTTCCTCCCCTCTCCCGAGCATCTAGGACAAAAAAAATAAAATAAAATAAAAGCCAAAAACCCTACCTGTGCTTGACCGTGCTTTCGGTCTGGATTTGCACCCGAACCCGGTAGGCGATCCTCCTAAGAGGCTACTGGGGGGAAAAAGTCCAGAGCCATATTCTGGGACGTACGGCGGGTAGGTAGTGATGGGGTGATGCGCGGAGGACGTGGCTCCCCCTAAAGAGGCCATGCTGCTCCGAGAGTGGGACGACTCCAGCTTCATGGTGTCGGCCAGGGACACCTGATATTTGATGCATTCCTTCTCGTCCTGCCGGCTGGAGCCGGTGGAGCCGGGAGTGGAGATGGACGGATCCGGGGACACATCTTTGGGAGGGGTCGGCGGGAAGGTGAAAAGGTGCGGGCTGGAGTGGCCGGCGGATAAAGTGGAGGAGGAGGCGGGTGGGTAGACGGAGAGGGGTCCCGGTGAGCTGTGGTGGATGGAGGTTTTGGAAAAAGGGCTGAGGTTCCAGGGGGAAGCGCTGTGGTGGCTGCTCAGCGCTTTGCTCCCGTCCAGCCACGGCAGCGAGCCGTGCAGCAGCGGGGGGCGGCACACCTGGCTCCCTGCGCGGAAAAAAAGCACAGCAAAAAGCCGGTTACATTCCCCTTGCACCCCTGTGAGCCCGCCGGGGGAGGGTGCCAGCCTGCGCCCCCCATCCCTTCCCCTCCTTCCCCAAAAGCTCCGCTGGATCCCGAGTGCGGGGCGAGCAAGAAAAATCGCATCTGGTGCACACCCCTCGGCTTCCCCTCATTTAAAATTAAACTTTTAGTGCTGTCATACCTCCGAGGTGGCCGCCCTGATCATGCAGGACCGGGTAGCTGGGCTGGGACCCCCTGAGCAAAGATGCCCTGGGACACAGAAGGGGGATTTGGCCAGCCCTGCTTCACCCTCTCCCTCCCAGACATTCCCAGGCAGGCTTCGAAGGAAAGATCTCGTGTGAAATTACCAAGCCCCTACTGCAGAAATTATTTTTCTTAGCTGGAAAATAATTTGTCAGTCACTTCCCAAAAGCAGCCGTGGGCTACAAACCCTGGGCATATTCTGGCCAAACGAAGAAGACCAGAAGATGCCCAAAAACTGAATTATAACCTTTCCAACAGGGCTACTAAACTTTGCATGCTGCCCCAGTTTGCCTTTTTTTTTTTTTTTTTTAATCCATCAGGCTGTCCTCAAATGTTAGACAGCGTTTTCATGACAATATGGTACACGCAGAGTGCCAACTGTCTGAGAAGAAACTCTCCATCTCCTTCGTATCACAAAAGACTTTTCATTTGTGTTTTAAAATACAGACCCGGATTTGGGTTGAGGGAGACCACTAGATCTATTTAAATTTATGCAATCAAACTTTTTTTTTCTTTGGTTGTAAATGTTCTGAAGGGATCGTACCAAACATTTTTAAATAATTCCTGCCCTGTTGAAAAAAACATTCAAAGAATCAAATCTACCCAAGTCCACAGCGACTTGAGCAAATCGCTAGAAGCTGAAAAACACAGTTATTCACCTGGAGGAGAGCAAGTTTGTGCCTGCTAATAAAGCTCTGAAACACATTGACATCTAGAGGTCCTTAACCTCTTTAGGTATCGTGATACGTGTGTACAGACTGCTAAATATACAGAAGGAGAGATGCAAACACAGATCTATCGAGCTGCAGATAGCAAAGGAGTGGGTGCAGTGTGGACACATATGTTTGCATGGGAGCTTGTGCATGTCTAGAAGATCTCCAAGCTACTTTTCACCGTACCAGACATTTGTGAACAATACTGAAAGTAACTGCTCAAAAGGAAGGGAAGGTGGGTTATACGAGTAGAAAGGGTCAAGATTCATTATCTTCTCCAGGAAGTAGCATAGTAAATAATATTCAGGCTAGATCAGAGAGACCGCAGTTCCACTTTCTGCTGATATATTGGGAAAAAAAAAATGAAAAGAAGAGAAAAGAAAGAAAGGACAAAGGCTGCTGATCCTTAGAAATAATTGTTTTAAATGGACTAATAGGCGAACAATGCAGTTACTGAGCGGAGCCTAATGCAGCCTCGCACTCAACAAGTAGCCGAGGGCCGGGAGCAGCCCCCTGAGCCCAGCTCACTCATCCCACCTTCTTTGCCTTGATTTTGGGGTGATTTCTACGGCAAGCCTCAGGCTTTTTAGATTCCGCCGCTTTGGAGAGGTCACCCTGCGGCTTTGGAAATCAGCGGCTGGTAGTTTCCCTCTTTTTTATTATTATTATTTTCCCCCCTTTCCCTAACTTTTAATCATAGAGGCAAACTCAAGCCGCGTACACTGGGTTGCTCCGATCCTTCTTAAAAAGATAGCACCAAAACTTTCATCCCTCCTCAGACCTGGGCCCCATCGGCCCCAGGTATTTTGCCTCCTCTCTAAAAGCTGTGGCCCAGCAATAAAACTCAGGCTGTGGCTCACTACCTTCCTGCAGGACAAGGAAACACAACAAGGCTGGTGCCTAACCTGGTTGCACCTCGGGATTTTTCTTCTTTCTTGTTTTCAACACGCGCCGTGGTGCGGCCCTGGGTGAATGTGCAAAACTTTCAAATCAAGCCTAACAAGCTCCCAAGGTGCAAATGAAATATCCCAAGCGTGAGGACAACGGGGTCATTTTCACACCCCTGTTCTACAGCTTGCTTTTCTTCCCAAGATCAGTTACTTGTGCAAAAACTGAACACCGTACGAAAAGCTTGTTCACCTAAGTAAAGAGGAAAATGCCTAAGTGAGAGAGAGGGGGAAGAAAGAAAGAGAAAGGAAAAAGTATGACAGATGAAAGAGAAAGAGGAAGACATAGAGCAAGAAAGTGGAAAAGTGGGAGTGAGGAAAAAGAAAAAAGGAAGGGAGGAAGGACAGAAGGAAGGGAAGTAGGAAGGGAAGTAGGAAGGAAGGAGAGATGGAAAGGAGAAAGAGAGAAAGAGAGAGAAAAAAATGAAAGAAGAAAAGGAGGAAAGAAGAAAAGAAGGAAAAGAGAAAGAATAGTAATAATAAATAAATAAAAAAGTAAAGAGAAGAAAGAAAGCGGGAAAAGAAAGCGAAAAGTAGCCGGGTTGGGATACATTTCTCCCAAACCAACCCCCAAATCGCCCCCGTGCAGTAGTTTCCCAGGGGCTCTGCCCACCGGCAGCGGGGCTAGGGGCTGCTCTGAGCCGCCGGGGGCCGGGGGGCAGCGGGGGGCACTCACCGTGGTGGGCCGTGGGGTATCTCTGCACGGTGGCTCGCACGGAGTTGCCGTAGTACGGGGGGACGGGGTTGCCTTGTCCGTCGATGTTAAAAAGTACATCCACTTCCTCGGCGAGAGGATACTGCGTGGGGTCCATGTAGGTATGGCCAAGGGTGGGGTGGTGCGAGTCCGGGTGCTGCCCATTGAGCACGGCCGGGTGGTGGTGGCTCACCCACCGCGGCTGGTCCGTGGAGACCTCCATCTTCCGCGCTCGGTGCTCCGCCGCTGCTCTTCCTCCTCCTCCTCCTCCTCGGCAGGGCGCGGGGGGCCGGCGGTGGGAGGGGGAGGACGGTGCGGAGACGGTGCGGAGCCGGGGAGGGGGAAAACTGCTCGGCGAGTTCGGGGTTGTTTCTGTTTTGCTTTGGTTTTTAAATCGGAGGGAGGGGGGCTGCGGTGATGAGCGGCCGGTTCCAAAAATAAAAATTAAAAAAAAAAATAAAAATAAAGGAGGAAAAAAAAAAAGAGAATGTAATAAAAAAAAAAAAAAGGGAAAACAAATAAACTGAGGGAAAAAATATCTCTGCGAAGTGAGATCCCCTCGGTATCTTCCGCTCTTTTGCAGATGTTTCTCTTCTTTGATCACCTGTAACGAGAAAGAGGAAAGGGAAGGAGCAGAGAGAGAGAGAGAGAGAGAGAGAGTGGCAGAGAGAAACGTGCTTGAGAAGCTCTGAACTTTAGCACCTGACTTTTTAGGCAGCAGCAAACCCATCCCATCCCGCGGCAGCCATCCCTGGGAAGCGCCTGCTCTGCCCTGGACCCACCTCTCCCAGCGCCTCTTTCTCTTTCGCTCTCTCCCCGCCCGGCTCGCAGCAGCTCCGGCCGCTGCAGCTCTCTTGCTCTGGCTTTTTTTTTTTTCTCTCTCTTTTTTTTTTTTTTTTTTCTCTCCCCCCCCACCCCCGTTTTCTTTTTTTCGGTGTCGCCGCGGTCGTTTGTTTATTTGTTTGTTTGCTCAATTTGCACCTGAGAAGCTCCGGCGGCTTAAGCCCGGTGAGAACTTGTGCCATTCGCTGCGCTGCAGCCTAGAGCCACTTTGATTGCTCATTAATTATTATGCAACCGAGAAAGGGAGGAAGAGAGGAAAAAGAGTGGGGGGGGGGGGGAAGAGGAGGGGGGGTAATGCGATAGACAAGAGGTTGGGGGTGAAGGGAAGGAGCGAGGGCAAAAGGAGGGGGGAAGAAGGGAAAAAAAAATAAAGTCGCTAAAGAAATTCCGCACAAACCTTGGTGGAGGAGCAGTATGTGACCCAGGAGGGATGAAGCTGAAAGTGCTTGATCAGATCAGATTGTGCTCTCTCGCCCTATTTTTTTTTCCCTTTTTTTTTTTTTTCCTCCCTCTCTCTGTTTTTTTTTTTTTTTTCTTTTTTTTTTTTTTTTACAGGGAAGGCATTCTTTCTGAAAGGAGCAGGATGGCGCCAGCCGGCTCAGTGCTTACAGACAGCTGTGGCGAGACGCAACTTAAGGAGGTTCCAGTGTCATAAGCACGGGGAGGCGGAGCCTGGCCCCGGCTGAGGAGGGGACCGGCGGGGCGCACCCGGAGCCTCCGCGCTGCCCCCGCCGCGCACCCGCGAGAACCCCGCACCGGGCGGCGCAATTTCACCAACTTCTTTTTTCCCTCCCCTATTTTATTTTTTTTTCTTATTCCCTTATTCTGTTCTTTCTTATTATTTTTACTACTTAATTTTTTTCTTTTCCTTTTTCCTATTTTAATTTTTTCTTTATTTTTTTTCTTTTTTCCTTTTCCTTCTTTTTCTTTGCCTATTTTTTTCCTTTTCCTTTTTCTGTTTTTTCTTTTTTTTCTTTATTTCATTTTTTTCCTTTTTTTTCCCTTTTTTTGCCTTTCCTTTTCTTTTCTTTTTTTTTCTTTTTTTTTTTTTTTTTTTTTTTTAGGGCTTAACTAACTTTTCCCGCTGGCCACCAAACTCTGCGAGCGGCACGCAGCTCCCAGACGTTATGTGATGGAGTGGGGCCGTTTCCCCTCTTCCTCCCCTCCAGCACCTCGGGGGCCTGAAGGTTCAAGAGCGGCCGGATCCCACTTCGGGTTGCATCGGCAGGTGCAGCACCTCCGAGGGCTGGCGACCCTACAGGCGGCCACTTCTTTTTGCGAAGGGCTGCCGGCGGCTTTAGGGCTGCTCCCTCTGAGGATTTGCTTTTAGGATATAAATGCCAAGAAGGAAATAATACAATTTGGGGACTTTTTTTTTTTTTTTTGCCCAGTTCTACCGGAGATGTTGGTTCTCCTTGACACCTACCGAGGCTTGGAGGGGACATGCATCAGGGGTTGGGACAGCTCAGCAGACCCCCTCGGGACGGTTCCCCCCCCGTGTCCCCGCTCCGTCCCGGCCACCCCCGGTCTCGAACCCGCGGCTCCCCGCAGCGCCTCCCGCCGCCCTCAACCAATGGGGGGCGAGCAGGAACCGGGGCGGCGGGCGCGGGCCGCGCTGATTGGCTGCCGCCCGCCCCCCCCCAGCCCGGCCGCTGCCTTGAGCCAGGGCATCCCCTAGCGGGGACGGGACGGGACCGGGCGGGACGGGACGGGACGGGGAGGGATGGGGGGAGATGGAGGGGGCTGGGAATGGAGGGGGGGAGTGGGAAATGGGGGATGGAGGGGGGTTATGGGGGAGAGATGGAGAGAGGGGAGACGGAAATGGGGAGGAAGGGAGAACGGGAGAAAGAGAGGAAGAGAGGGAGACAGCAAGTGAGAATGAGAGGAAGGGAGAAAGAGAGGAAGGGAGTAAAACAGAACGAGAGGGGGAAAAAGGGAAAAAAAGGAAAAAAAATAAAGTAGGAGAGAAAGAGAAAGAGGGAGAGAGAGGGAGAGAGAACGAGAGAAAGAAAGAGAGAGAAAGAGAAGGAAAAAAAAAGAAAGAAAGAGAAAGAAAAAAAAAAGAAATAAATAAAAAGTGTGAAAATTCGAAAAGAAAAGAAAAGAAAAGAAAAGAAAAGAAAAGAAAAGAAAAGAAAAGAAAAGAAAGAAAAGAAAAGAAAAGAAAAGAAAAGAAAAGAAAAGAAAAGAAAAGAAAAGAAAAAAGGAAAATGAAAGAAAATGAGAAATAATGAAAGAAAATGAGAAATAATGAAATGATAGAAAAGGCAAAATACTGAAAGAAAAAGCAGCAATTCAAAAAGTCACTCACGGGGCCGCTTTGAGCCTGCTGTGTCTCCGCACAGCGACCAGCCGGAGTCTACCCGGGTGCGGGAGGAAGCTCAGCTCCTCTCGGCACTTTTTATACGGGGGGGTCTAATTAAAACCCGGGGTTCCGCAGCGGCGGCAGCGCCTCCCGCGCACCCCGCTCCCCGCCGCTGCGCGGGGCTGCGCGGAACGGGCGGCCGGGCAAGTCCTCGGCAGATGCGCGCTTCCCTGCGCCGATTTTTAGCCCCGATTTTTCACTTGCGCTGCCGGCAGGGCCGGGGGGGATCCACCCGAATGTGAGCGCGGGGCACAGAAACACCGCTGAGGTTGAATTTTCGGTTCAAGCATTAAAAATGGTCTGTATTTTTAGACGGCTATTTTTGAAAATACCGACTTGGGGCAAGTAGAAAAGCCGGGGACGGGAATCAGCCGTGAGGAGGAATCGGGACAACCCAGCCGGGGGGGAAAACGAGCCCGGTGGGGTTAGGGGCATCTAGGGGGTGTTGTGTACCGGTGGGGACAGCGGCCGGGGGGCGAACAACCCGGGATGGGAGGGGGAGCAAGTCCGGACCCCCCCCCAGCCCTGCTGCTCCCCTCGCTGCCCGGCGCCTCCGAGGCTCCGGGGGGAACCCGGCACGTCTGGCGGCATCCCATTAGGGGAGCAGGGGGGCGTGCAGGGGGGGTCCCGAGATGGGGGGCTGGGGGGATGCTCACGGCCTTCTCCGTGGATTTTTAACTCGCTCCGGGCTCGACTTCCCTCTCGCCTCGGCTCTGCATGAGCTGCTTTGCCTGATTTTATTTTTCAGGGTCCCGCGCCCCAAACCCTCCCCCTGGGGGAAGATATTTTTTTGGACAGAAGCGGTCAGGGGAAGCCCCTCGCTTGCAAAATATTGATTTAAAGGCAAAACAGAAACTTTCCGCCCCCCACCCCAACCCTAAAAGCGTTTTATAAAGGTGAGGCCAGAGTCTCTCCCTTTATCCCTCCTCCCTGCATTTCCCCCGAGCCCGAGCCATCCCTGCGGGTGGGGTTGGTCCCCAGCCCTTCGCAAAAAATCCCTTTAAAAGAAATCCCTTGGGAAGTGTTAGGGGGAGGGAGGTGGCACGGGCTGGGGGCAGGTGAGCTGAGACCACCCCGCTCCGCTACCGCTGCTGCAGCTCCGGGACCTACAGCGTGGGATCGCAGGAGGGGAATTTCCCTGAAGAGGTCACAAAATTGCTAAACCCTCGAGAAAATGAGCTTTTGCCCCCGTCCACGGGTAGGGGAAGGTTTTTGCAGCCGCCACCTTTCAGCTGGTTGGAGGGCGAAGAGAGCTTGACGCCAAATCAAATTAGCAGCACACGACAAAATGCAATGCAATGCAATAAAATAAAAGCGACGGTTGCAAGAAAAGATAAAATGAAATAAAAGCAATAAAATAAATCGGTCGCCCCAAAGCCTGCTCGGTGCCGGGGGCTGCCCCGACGGGGCGGGCAGGGGGTGGCGGGAGGGGGGGACCCTGCTCGTCGCCTCCCCCCTCCTGCCGCAGCCCCGATTTGGGGGGAGGGCACCCGCTTTCAGATCCGCTTTGCTCAGCCTGCCCTTGCCTCTCCCTCCCGGTTCCGCAGCCCCGATCTGTCTATCCCCTTCCCGGCCGGGGGAGAACAGTGGTGGGGAGGGCAAAAACACACACACTCCCGAAATAAATAAATAAATACAGAAATTATGCGCAAATCCGTAATTTTGTCCCCTTCCCTTCTCGTGATTCCCCTTTTCCTTTTTTTTTTTTTCTTTTCCTTTTCTCTTTTTTTTTTTTTTCCTTTTTATTTTTTTTTTTTCCATGATCGCTGGCCTTGACCGTCCTTTTCCCAGGCTGTGGCTGCAGATCCATCACCTCGCCCCCCACACACACCCGGCAGCCCCCAGCAGGGTTTCCAGTGACAGCCCGGCGTTAATAGGATCCCTTTGTTGGAGCAATTAGCCTCAGGATCGCCCCCCCCCAGCCGCCCCATAAGGCTCTCGGGGGTTAATTCTGCCGGGGGAGCCGGGCTCCAGCATCCCTCCAAGCCAGGGGCTGTCAGGCTGTGCGTTGGGGGGGTTGCAATGGGGTGAGCCCTGCCCCTGAAAAGTCAAAACCCCTTTGGCAAAAGTCCCAAAAATAAAAATAATAATAAGACTCGGGGAGATGGGGCGGGTACCAGCCTACCTCTCCCCTAAAAGTGAGCATTCAAAAGACACGATCCCCCCACCAACACCACCACCGCCCTATTATCCCCAGGCCCTGCTGTTATAATAGGTTTTGAGGAGGTTTTATGGGGCCGGGGCCGCCCCGCTGCCTCCGGGCCCCCTCTGCTCCATCCCCAACGATGCCCACCCGAGCAAGTGGCACCGGCGTGGGTTTCGCTGCCTTTTTTTTGGGGCGGGGACAGGCAGAAAAAGCCCCCTCCTCCCCTTTTACCCCCCCTCGCACCCTCCTTTTAGACGACAATTGACTGCAAGCGGATTAAGTTACGTTTGCCGGGCTGGGGTTTTTACAGGGTACCAGAATAGTACAGGTAAAGCTGTACAAACAGCCGGGAGCTACGAATCGGAGGGTTATGGAGAGGACACGGCCCAGGGCAGAGCTCCCAAGATTTTTTTGCCTTGCTCTCTACCGAGGGAATGGGGTCGGGGAGGGAAAGGCGCTGCCCCATATCCATCGCCCCCTCCCGGGGCACGCAGCCGGGACCAGCCCGGTGTGCGGGGAGCTGCTGAGATAAGGCCGGTTTAAACAAGGCCGGCTTAAACAAAGACGGGGAGAGAAGGGAACAGTTCTTTTTTATCCTCTCTCTTCTTCTTGTTTTTATTTTTTTTCCCCCTCCGTCAATCAGACAAGGAATTGTGATCTCTTCCCCCAACGCCACCCTCTCTCTAGCAGGATAAACGAACCACAAGCCAGTAATAAATAATAATAATAATAATAATAATAGTAATAATAATAATGTCCTACAGAAAAAAAAAAAAAAGAGAGATATTAGACTGATATTTCTGCTTCTCTTTCAAGGCAGCTTGTCCCCCGTGAGCCTTCCCCTCTGCTTCGAAACCAGCCACATGCGTGTTTTTTTTTTTCTTATTTATTCTCTCTCTTTTTTTTTTTTCTTTTTCAAATGCACATATGTGTACGTTTCCGTTCGCGTCTAATAATTCATTTATCTCCCTTTCGTGCAGATCGGGAGGAAGCAGACACACACAAACACGCACACAAAGAAGTGCCGAGCCATGCAAATCGAGCGAGAGCACAAATCAACTTCTGATTACATCGGCTCCGATTTTTCCCCCCTTCGTGCAACACAGCAGACGCACACATTTTTTTTTTTTTTTTTCAGCACAAATGATGCTATGTGATGAGGAGGGAGGAAGAGAGGGGAGGAGGGGGGGGAAACCCTGCTCTGCCGAAGAACAGAAATTCGAAGAATTAAAATTGGGAGGAGAGAGAAACCGGGACTTTTCTTTCCCCTCCTCCCCCCCTCCTTTGAAGCTGAGAGGAGGGCTACTGCCCCGGGACACTGCAGGAGTTTAGGAAAAAAAAAAAAAAAAATCTGAGAAAGATCAAAAACCGGCTCCGCAAGTCCCAGCGGCGACCTCTCCCCCCGCCGCATTCCCCAAAGTGCGCGGCGCAAACCCGGAGCGGAGCCGGGTGAGGCGGCGGAGGGGACCCAGGGGGGTCCCGGCTGGTGGCCCTGTCACCCCTCTGCCTGTCCCCGTCCTGCTCCGGGACGGGAGGCAGAGCCCAGCTTCCTTCCCTCCCCGTTTCCCTGCTTCTTTTTCCCTCAGCGCAGCCCCGACTTCAGGCTCAGCACGGTAAGTCCCTTTTTTCCCCCCTTTTTTATTTTTTATTTTTTTCCCCCTCCTGTCTTTTCTCAGAGGGGTGGCTGGAAAAGGGGTTCCAGCTCTCTCTCTTTCACTCTTTTTATTTTCCTTTCCCACCTCTTTTTCTTTTTCCTTCCCCTGCTTCAAGCTCCACAGAGAGCATCTGCGGACACCGCTTCCCCCGGCACGGCGCTGGGGTAGGGCACGGCTTCCGAGAGGTTCCGGCAGATAAACAGATAAAAAACGATTAAAAAAATAAAAGAGATGGGGAAGGATAGGGAAAAAAAAAAAAAAAAAAAAAAAAAAAAAAAGAGAGAGAGAGAGAGAATAAATACTTCAAATCCCACCCCCAAAAAAATCCGGTGAGGTTAAGGAAATCCGCATTACCAGCCAAAAAAAAAAAAAAAAAGAGGGGAAAAAAGGGAAAGAAAAAAGAAAATGAGCCGTTGTATTTCCCCGCCGCTGAGGCTTTAAGCAAATGATCCCCCTACAATAATCAGCCGGCGGCTCCCAGTGCCGGGGATGTGCGTCCCGGGGCGGGGAAGGGGCTCTCGCTTTGCTCGCCTCGGTTTTGCCTCCCAGGAGCGATTTAGGAAATAGATGTGAAGGTGAATTGAACCGGTTTCCACACAGCCCGTGGAAAAGGTGAGGCTGCCGTCGGGTTTAATGACTTTTGGGGTTCTTTTCTTCCCCCATAAACCCCAAACCCTGGGATTTATGATGAAGCAGAACACCCAAATCGACGTGAGAGGAGGCGGCGGAATTAACACCGGCTCCTTGCCGAGATGGAGGGACATATCCTGACCTTCCGGCACCCAAACCGGAGCGATTTGCTCCGGGAAGAGCCCGATTGCCGCTAACTCTGAGCAGCCCTCGCACCCCCAGTGCCCCCAAAGCAAACCTCCCATGTCCAGAGCCCCCCGGCCCTAACCCGCTCCGTAAATGTGGGGCTCGCATTTAGTGTCCCAAGCTCCCAAATTCAAATTGGAGGGAGGGGGACACACGTCTGCCCCGATTTTGCACTCCTTGTTGCTATAAAGGAGTCTCGTCCCTAATTCCTCTGGGGTGCTGTCCCCCAGAGGTGCCCCTATAGGCACCTTTCCGTCCTGGGGGCCGAGCGGAACCCCCAGGGGAGCTGTGAGGAAGTAATTTCTCCTCGTTTTTTACCCCCCTGAAATTAAAACACCCCCTTCGGCTCCGTTAAAAATAATAATAATAAAATAAAATAAAAAACATCCCCGGGGAAAATGAATGAAATGTTTTGCCCCAACCGGGAGCAAAGTGCCGGGGGGTGCCCTGCCCTCTTCCTCCTTCCTTACCAAACCCCTTTTGCTCCTCTCCTTCTGTCCCCAGGATGCCGGGACCCTCCGTGTCCCCCTCCGCCCGCCCAGGTGGCCGGGGTGCCGAGCCCCAGCTCCGCACCTGCGGCCCATAAATAATGGTGAAAACAAGCAGGGCCGGCGGTTATTAATTAGCCGGTTTCATTAAAATCCATCCCCCAGAGCCTGCTGCCTGCGCACGGACACGCGAAGGTAAGAGGAGAGAGATGGATGCACACACACATTTTGTTTCCCTTGTTTTTAAAGGCGCTCGGTGACAGCCTGCGCGCATTTTTGGACAGCCCAGGTTGCCCCTGGGCAGGACGGTGGCAAATTTCCTACAAGGGGAGGATGGAGGAGAGAGACCTGAAGCCGGGAGAAAAGGGAAATTCAGCCTTTAGCCTTCGGGCACCCAAAAGCCATCTCCCCGGTGGGATTGGGGACAGGGAACCGGGCGGGTATTCGCGGAGATGTGGGGTGCGGGCCCGGAGCAGAGCCATCCTCCTCCTCACCTCCTCCTGGAGCAGGGATAGGAATGATTTGGGCTGGCGAGGTATAAAATAAGGGAGATCTGCGTAAAGGAGAAGCGGGGGAGCTCGCCCTAATTACACCCTATTAGAAGCATATATATTTGTTGTGTATTATATACCTTTGTTTAAATACATAGCGTTAAATATATAGCCTGTAGGACGCACACACGGTACGGATCGCCCAAAATCGGATCCCGGGTGGGGAGAATCGCGCGTGGGGACAGCGCGGAAAGGCGCGCAACGCTTTGGGAATGGGGGGGCTGCGTGGCTGAACCTCATTTCTTTTATTTTTTTTTTATTCCCACAAAAAAGCCGAAATGGGGCACGGCAAGGCTCCTGCTACCTCCCTCCCCATACCGAGGTTAATATTGCACGGGCAGGGCTGACAGCGCCGTGCCCCATATCGTGTCCCCCCCCAGCCATCCTCACCCCACAAGCCAGGGGCAGCCCAGCTCCTTCTCGCTTCCTAAATTTCTCGTCCCTCCCGGGCCGGGGGTGTCTTTCCCCAAGGTCACCGGGCAAAGCCGCCCCCCCCCCCCCCGCACACTCCCAGCAATAAGAGGCGGGGAGGGGGGGGCTCGGGTTGAGTTTCAGCCGGCGGCTGCTGCCCTTTGAGCCCAGCTCCCCTCCTAATTCCCTCCACGTGGAGAAGGAGCAAAAGGAGGAGGCGAAGGGGGTGAAAAATAAAAAAGAGAAGAGAGGGATGGGGAGGCAAGGAGAGGGGGGGGACGGGACACGGATGCACTGACCTGGGCAGATGCTTTTTATTTTGTCCTGCTCCGCTGGAGCTCTCAGCGCAGGAGTGCGGGAGGAGCGGAGCGGCGGCTGCTGGCATGGCGCAAGCTCCCACCCGGGGGGAAAACCTGGGGGAGCCGCATCCTCCAAACGCCCACCCTGCCCTCCTCCTCCTCCTCCTCCTCCTCCTCCTCAGGGCTGGGCTGAAGAGCAGAGCTCTTCCGGGTTGGGAAAGGGCAGAGAAAGAGGGAGAGAAATATGATGGGCTATTTCTCTGCACACCCAACCCGGCTAAATCACAGGGGGCGGGCCGGGGAAAGGGGGGGGGCGAGTCGGGTCCTTGGGGCTCGCAGAGGTGTGAGCGTGATGAAACCCGTCCCGGCAGCGGCTGTCACTGCCGGGAGCCTGCAGAGCCTGGCGAGAGAGAGAAGGGGAAAAAAAATTAATTGTGCCTGTGATGGTGCAAATAGCACCGGAGCGAGCCCACGGCTGCACGGAGAGCTTTCGAGGAAAAGCGGTGACATTGGCAAGAGGGGGCTGAGCCTGCCCTGTTGCCCCCCCACCCCCTTCGGGAGGGAGTTATATCGAGTCATTATTATTATTATTATAGGGGTACGAGATCCATGCAGAAAAAAATAAATCCCCACGCACCCCTTGCCACACCTGGAGGGTATCTTTCTCCCCACTGTCCCTCTGTCCTTCCAGGGCTGACCCCAAATTTCCCCCCTTCCCTCCCTGCTGCCCCTCTCCCCACAGAGAGCGACCCTGTACCCCAAAGCTGGGGCATGTTTCCCCCCTCCTCCACCCCTCATTGCGGAAAAGCAATCCCCTCTTCCCCCCCCCGAGCTGCTCTGGGGTCGGGGGAGAAACCCCCACGTCCCTGCATTAAGCCCCCTCCCTCCGGCCTTTCCCCATATTTCTGCCGGAGGGGTGCTGGACTTCTCCCTTTTTCCCTTATCTGAGAGGCTGAAAAATCCCATTTTTTGCCCATTTCGCTTCAAAATAAATACCCCCACCACCTTCCTGCAGCCCTCCCCGGGAGCCCTGCCGTGTGCTGGAGAAAAAGAGGGAAAAAAAACCGTCGGATTTGCTCGCTGGAAAACTTGCCCGAGGTTTAGTGGCGCTGGTTTTTCCTACTGAAGGTCGGTGCCTTTTGCTCCCATGTCCCCCCCTCCCCGCCCCGGAGGGAGGGGTGTAGCCGAGGAGAGGCGGAGGAGCCCCCGAGGAGCAGCCTGGAGGGGCTGTCGTGGGGAAAAACGTGTGTCCGTGGGGGCCAGGCTGTTGTGGAGGGTGGGCAGAGCCTGCCCGGCATCCGAGAGAAAGTGGGGAGGGGGAGAAAGTGGGGTGAACTCCCCCCCTCTTATTTAACATCACCCCCCACAGCCACCGCTGGAGTGAAAGGTTCTCGAAACGGGATGAAAAATGATCACTTAGTGGGGAAAAAAAAATAAATATATAGATATAGATATATTCACACTCCGAGTCCGGGAAGGATTTTTTTTTTAATTTTCCTGCTGACGCTGGGAGTTTGCTATCTCCGCTTCTAGAGTGACTCTGTAAGGTGAAAGGTAACGCGATCGCCTCCCAATTCTATCTTTAGAAAACACATTCAATTAAGGTAATAACTTGGGGCTCATTAGGCTGAGAAGGGAGCCCTCCCGCAGCCAAACGCCGCTGGAAGCGGCTCGGACACTCGACGGTAAGGGGAGGGCTAAGCCCCAAGCCCACGAGTGGGGTTTTGTTACGAAAAACCCTTCCCAAAGGAGTGTTTTGGAGCCACGATGCTGTGTTTGGCAGCGAAAGGAGTGGAGAAGCCGGGGCTAAATTCGTATGAATAAAGAAATAAATAAGTCGGGAGAAAAAAAAAAAAAAAAAAAAAAGGAAAAGAAAGAAAGAAAAAAAAAATAGAAATAGGAATGCGGCTTAAATCATTCGGGGTGTGTGTTCCCCATCAGCGGGCAGGGAAAATCCCTGGGAAATCTGCTCGCCGCGATTTGCGCTCCCCCACATCGAGCTGCGAGAGGGGAGGCGATACCGGCGAGGAAGACGATGCTGCCGGCTCCTTCCCAAATCGCACCGAGATAAAAATAAAATAAAATAAAAATAAATCAATGAAAGGAGGGAGGCAGCTGGATCTCGGAGGTCTGAGCACAGAGGGGGAACGAAAATTCAAGGATCCTCGTGAAGAAGACACATGGGAAGAGCAAGGAGATGGAGTCCCTGCGCTTTTGTCTCCTTATTTCTTATTTCCCTGGCTGGGGCTTGCTGGGAGTGGGGGGGGACCAAGAGGAGAAAGGGAATTTGGGCACAGGCGCAGGCGCGTCCACGCACATCTACACACATATATCCTCGTATATCCCCATATATATCCATATATCCCATATATCCATATATACCCAAATATTCCCATATATATCCATATCCACGCATCCACGCACGCCCCCACCCATCCCCACTCACCCCCTCGCCATCACCCCCCGCCCCGGGCCGGTCATTCCCAGCTCGGAGGGCTGGCGATTCACAGGTTAAACATAACTAATGAGGCTTTAAACGGCACCCGGGGTTTATCGGAAATATCGCAGCCCTTCCCCGGTGCCTGCAGTTTAGCTTCCCGCTGAAGCGCCGGCTAGATGGCCAGAAGTCATTTAAATAACTAAATAGCCGCACATCTACGGTGTGGGCGTCGTGTTTGCCAAATAAAGGGGGATGCTGTGATTCCCCCAGCCTGTGTGGCTGAGCACACCTCTTGCTCGCCTCTTGGCACCCGTTTTGCCGGCCAGGCATGGAAATAAATACCTCCACACACACACACAATCGATTTCGGCTCCGCCTGAGCCCAGATTCGCAGCCGGACCCTCCGTAAAGACGGTCCCATACATACATTGTTGGTCCCCAGAAGAGCTCGGCCGGCTGCAGAAAGGAGCTTGGGGATGGTTTATTCGCTATAATTCAACCGCCGAGCCTGCTCCGGGGAGAAAACCCACCCTTCTGGGCCCCCACCCCGGAGAGAAGTTGCCCATATAATCAATAATGCCCCCCTCCAGGTGTGAAACCCCAGCCCCACGGAGGTTATTTTTTTAATATCCTCTCCTCGATCCCCCTTGCCGAGGAAGGGGGAGAGAAAGCCCCCACCGGCTCGATCTCCCCAAATCGGCCGGCTTGGCATTGATCCTGGGCTTTGTGTGCGCGGAGTATATTCGCTTGAAAACGATTTCCATTCAACGCAGCATCCTACAGCGGTGCGATCGACCCGGGGACTTGGTGCCAGCTCGGGGAGGGGGAGCGGGGTTGGAGGGGGGGGGGCTCGCAAATTAAAATAATTTCCGCCCCCCTTTCCCCCTCCATCGCCCCCGATCTGCCTTTACCCAAAGCGGAGGCTTGGAAATAAAGTCAACCCCAGAGCCCAACAAATAGCCACAACTGCAAATTCCCATCAATTACGGCCAAGGTGCAAAATATATTTATAAAAATATATAAAGCACGTGGAAGTGGGGAATTTTAATTAAATCTTACTGCGGCTCTAACAACATCGAAGTGATATTTCATTCGGAGCCCGCCTCTTGCTTGTGTTTTATAGCGTTTTCTTGCCTCTGACTTTATTTAAAATATTAGACGAGGTACAGAATTATAAATGACTCTTTCCTTATCTGTGCTGCTCACATATCCAGGATCAGAGGAGCTGATTAAGAAAGAAGTCAGAGGCAACGTTGGATTCATAATGATTCGGAATAATGAATCCTTATCTCTGCTTTCCAGATTATCACCCTTTCAGCTCCCAATGTTTTGTTACATGGGATAATTTATTGCATCTAATACATCACAATGAATCTGATGGCGGAAAGCGATGGGCAACGTTGGGGGAAAAGAAAAAAAAAAAACGGGGGTCCTTATTTTAGTTTAGTTTTATCCTGGGGGCAGCGAGACGGATTTTTTTTTTTTTTAATTGGGAAAATATAAGGTAGATCTGATAATAACAATAATAATAAAAAGAAGTTGGGGAGGGGGGGGACACTAGGCGCTTTAATTAGTGTGTCACTTTCAGGCTGAAATTAAGAAAATCGACCGGAGCTGCTTCTCTCGGCGGCTGCGAGATCCTAATTTTACATGATTTATTTTTTATTTAAGGGGGAGATAATGCATCATAAACATTGAATAAAGCACGGAGCCGGGTTAAGATAAAACACAATTTGCATCTTTTTTTTTTTTTTCTTATGTGTCTGTGTGTGTAAGGGAGGGCTGCCAATAATGTTCAATTTTCTCCCCGCCCCATTGCCAAATAAATACATGCATAGCAAAAAATCGATAAGATTTCTGCTAGGAGCCTCTCCCCTCTCTCTCCCCCTCTGTCTGCCTCTTTTTTTTTTTTTTTTTTATTTTTTTTATTTTTTTAAGGCATTTCTCATAAACTGGAGAAATTCCGCGGGTTGCTTTGTATGCAAATGAACGCTGCTCTGTGTTTCGGGCTGCAGAAATGGAAAAGGGGCATCCACCTGAAATTATTGATATAGGTGCAGGCGTGTGCCTGAAGAGGGGGAGATCTGCTGATATTTTGCTGGATTTGAACGTATTCGTTTGAATCCTTGAAGGGACCGCGCAGGCAGTGGCTGCCTCCTCACCTGCGCAAGGAAGGGATGCGAATCAAACCTTTCCTGCCGCCGTTATCCCTTTCTCTGCCCTTTTTGGGGTAAGGGGGATTCCCAAAGCAAGAGGAACTCATCCCCAAAGTTCAGCCTTGGTCCCAGTCAATACGGGCTCAAGGCACCCCAAAACCGTGCCGAGGGGCTGGGGGATGATTATCCCCGAAGCATCCCTGCCTTTTCATTTCTGGGGCAGCACCGGAGAGAAAATGGTGTCGAAATCCCAATTCGTGCTCGAGCTGCGCCTTGCTTTTGCTTTTATATATAAAATAGAGATATAATATAGATATTCCCGTATACCAGGCAATCCTGATGCTAAAATTTCCGGGGACAGGTGCTGCCAGCCCTTCTCTGCCTGGTTTAAGTTTCCCTGCCTCCCCCTCATCCCTTCTTGCCTCTCCCGGCACAGGGACAGTGTTTAATCATTAACCGGCTCTATTATAATTATTTTTTTTTTCTTTCCAGGAAGCGGGAGACGCTTCTGAAACAGGGTTGCAAAACAACTTGTTTTCCCCTTTGCCTACAGGGGATGCTCCCGTCGAGGGGGACTTGGGTGGGGGCAGCTCCCCCCCCGCCGGGGGGGCGCGGTGCAGATGCCCGCCTGCTTGCTGGAG